GCTTCCTGCGGCAAACTTCCCTTGAAACTCAGGGGAGTTCCCACGACAGGCTTTGATACACCCAGAGTTTGTGTGCGTGCAAGTGTGAGAGAGGTGAGAGCTGTCAAAAGCCCCACTGGGCACTCACAAGCCCTTGGGATATCCAAAGCATATGCATTGTGGCCTTTGAGCTTCTGTGTTAAATCAAAAGGTCCACGGCTTGAAATTCTCCTCTTTAATCTGATACCTTGTAGTTAGATCAGCCTACGACTCCTCTTTTGCTCCCCCAAAGAACAGAAGAATGTTTTGCAGTGGTTTTCTGCATGATGCCCTTTCAGCAAAATGAGAATCAGGGGTCAGAATTCACACGGCAACATTAGTATCACAACCAGAATTTTTGTGCACATACCAGGACTGAGTCCAGAAGGTGGCATGGTTGCACATAGGTCAGGTTGGCCTTGAGACCAATGAAGACCACTTCCATTTTGCAGAGTGCCCAAAGAGATGGGATCCTACGAGAATCCACAGTTTTCATGCCATACTCTTCCAAATTTGGGGGACCCACTTAGGGTGCCGTGTCTGAGGGACCTCAGAATCCTCACACAAAGTCAGGGAACAAAAATCCTGGAGATACCATACTTGTGCATTTGTTCAAATAAGCAGGATTTGATATTCATATACGTTTCTGTTTCAGCTCAAGTTTATGGTTCCAAATTCAACTTGAGACAGGGAAAAAATCAGAGCAAAGCTCCTCTTTCATCACTTTAAAGCTAATGACATATTGAAACATTTATCACAGCCTTGCAATATGTATTGCCTTTTATCCAGGGTTTTTAAACCGTCAAAAGCATCCCATCAGATAGCAAATCTCCAGTGTGATGTTTCCCCTATAATTAAACTGGACAGAGGGGTTTTTTTGGGGGGGGGCACAGGGAAAGGCTAAAATATGTCACTAAACTGCAAATAATATTAAATGGCATTATCAATAGCAGAGTCCCAGAGTTTGTATATTAATTGGCGGAAGGTGTTAATTTCAGTGTTTTAAGCTTGCAATCACAAGCTTGTTTACATGCGCCATTCCACCTGGACCTGTTTGGAGGTTTGTCAAAAACCTAACAAGCAGAAAAAGATTGCATTTGAAAATACGCATGCATGTTTAATTAAGCTAGGGCCACTGAACCTTCCTCAATATATTTAGCTGTTGAGATTTCAGCACCAGCAGAGCATCAGGCATTATCACCTTTTGAAGTATTGTGGAATCTTTAATATTTAAAGCACAAAGCAGACTTTTAATATAAAATTCTAGCAGACCATAGAAGATTAAAGATGCATTCTAAATGTGACAGTTTGTAAATGGCATGCCAAGTATTAAAAGGAAACCCCCCTGATACTTTACAGCATATTTTCCAGGTGTATGCTAAATTATGAATACAATTAAATAGCTGTAATTATTCTCAGGGAATGGGCTGCAATCTAAGTGCCCCACCCTCAGTAAAAAAAGAAAAGAAAAAGTGATTAGCTCTTAATACAGGGAAGTAGCAATGTGTGTACTACCAGACTGTTTAAACATTCCTTCCTTACAGCAGAACCTGATGTTAATTTTTACTATCCACTCAGGACCCTACTCAACATAAACAGAGATGTGTTACACATGCAAAACTCGAGCGCAGGCTGTCAGATCAGTCCTGCAGTCTATTTGTTCACACCAGCGATTGCTTATCACACAGTACATCAAAAATTGCACTCAGTGCCACTGGTGGCACATTTTATGCACCAGATAACATGGTGTACAAGGATCGTATCCAGAGCTTTTGCAGGGGTGGAAAGGAAGCGCAGGTATCTGGATTAAATCGCCCCCACAAAATGGCTACTATGGGAAGCAAAAGAAAAGAGGTGACTTTGTACCAATGCGCCATATATATAGTTCTACCAGTGCTGTGTGACTTCTGTTTCCAGTCCTTCCCACATGCTCCCCACATCTGCTCTAGAGGATCTGGCAATCCTGGGGAAGCTGTTGGGAACAGGTTTAATTGTGTATGAGTCTTTGTGCAAGTCTCTTGTGGGTAGTGTTCTGTTAGTCTCCAACTTGGGAATCCACCTCTCATGCTTTAGCCACGCCCAGGGCTTTTTCCCCCAGCCTGGACCTCACTGGAACTCAGTTCCGGCACCCCTCATATGGGCGCCCTTGGCATTATGAGAGAACAAGGGAGGTGTTTGAAACAAGGGAGGCCTTTGAAAACCCCACTAGCACCTCTCCTGGACACTGGCAGTAAAAACAAGACCGCAATAAGTCAAATAACAATTTCCTTTTCTTTCATGGACCACAAAACCAGTTGTGGAATGGCTAGCTCTGTCTAACAGTAGAGCCGGCCCTGACTGATCTGATAATTTACAGTAAAGAGCCCAGATGATGAAGGAAAAAGCAGCGTAGCCTTGTGTTGTTTCCCAAGTGCCACAAGTAGGCCTGGTCTGGACTTTTAGGTGTTCTGAGAGCATCTCCTTTCTTCTCAATGTATGCTCTGCTCCCCCTGCTTTGGCAAAATGTGTCGCTCTTACCTATCCAGCAGGTAAGTTGAAATGCCAGAGGATAAAATCAAGTCGCCTACGAGGCCATCTTTCCTTTGTCTGGTGCCCGTCCTGATGTTTGGGGCTACAGCTCCCATCATCAGTGATGACTGGCCATGCTGATGAGACAAAACTGGAGCTGGAGTCAACAAGGTTAGCAAAGGCTAGACCAGGATTTGGAAGCAAGTGGAGATGTAAGACTGGGCATGGGAAGAACGCCAATGAGATTCGCTTCAACGTCCAGGGCCTGAGAGGGTTCCAAGCCGTCTTTTGTGGAGTGAGCTGCATATGCACATTGCTGGGGATCTTGACAATTTGAGTAGGAGAGTGAAGTCACTCATTTCATCTCATCCTGGAGTTCATGTTCTTTGTGAATGAATGGTAAACAGCATACAGTGGCACCTCTGGTTACGAACTTAATTCGTTCCGGAGGTCCATTCTTAACCTGAAACCATTCTTAACCTGAGGTACCACTTTAGCTAATAGGGCCTCTCACTGCCGCCGCGCGATTTCTGTTCTCATACTGAGGTAAAGTTCTTAACCCAAGGTACTACTTCCAGGTTAGTGGAGTCTGTAACCTGAAGTGTTTATAACCCGAGGTGTTTGTAACCTGAGGTACCACTGTACCATATTTTTCTGTGTATAACATGCACCCATTTATAAGACTACCCCAATTTTGGGGGACTCAAATTTAAGAAAATGGGGGGAGATGGCCCAGAATTGTTGAGCTTTCATGGGGGGGGGTTGCCGAAAATTACTCACACAAATGGAATACACTGAAAATAATGCGTGTCGCTGATGCCATCAGCCATCTGCCCACTTGCCGCAAGCAGCCAGCAATCGCATGCCCAATTGCCTCAGTGGTAGCCAATCCAAAGCAGCCCTTGCCACAGCCACCAATCACCCACCCAATCGTGGCTGCAACCAATCACCCGGGCCCCCTCTACACTATCCATGTCTAATATGACCCCCGGTTTTTTACATTATTTTCAAGTAAAAAAACCTCGTCTTATACACAGAAAAGTATGGTAATCCCTGACATGTAAGGTGGCCACATGTCCTATTTTACAGAGGAATGTCTGCTGTTTGAAGGGTTGTCAGAGGAAAGGCCTCTGAAAAGCAGCCCATTCCAAGGTGGAATCTATACACATATAAAAACCGTTCTGAAAATGCTTAAAAAAAAAAAAAAAGCATCTAAAAAATACATTGAATTTTCCATAAGGCTCACAATCGCCATCTAGTGTCACATTGTATATTGCACTTAAAACACACTTAAAACATTTTATTTGCAGCTGAGTCCCAAGTCTGGTTTATAGATACAGGGAGAAAGATATTGTCCATCAGCATCATATGCCCTTTTAAAATGTGTTGGGGGTTTTATTGGGTAGTTTTTGTTTTTATCTTGATTATGCATTTTGTGTTTTTGTATTGTGATTTCATCTTGTGAACTGCCCTGAGACCTGCAGGTATACAAATTTAATAATAATAATAATAATAATAATAATAATAATGGCAGCTGACTGTGCAGGCACACAGGTCACTCAGTCACAGCCTCCTCCTGCTATGATGAGATGAACCGTGACTCCACTTAACTTATGGCAATTACTTCTGCATTTGCATCTGTGCATGCAAATTTGCATATGCAAATTTCATGCAAATCGGTGTCCTCTTTTCGTCCCCTTCTTTGGGGATGTATAAGTGACCACTTTACTGATGTGAGGAGGCTGGTTCAGTAGTTTATCTTGGCACCTGTAGACTGACATACTAAAACATTTCAGTATTCCTACATGCCTTTATTTTTGTTCTCACCCAGCCTAAGAGAGAAAGAAGTGGTATTTGCTGCCTATACACACAATGAGCCACTAGGTGGCGCTTGCGCAGGGAGGCTTCGCTGTGAACCTTATGGCATCCCACTAATGCTAGCTATGATGGAAGTTCTCCCTCTCTGTACATGCTAAATAAGCAAACTATCTAATAATAACTAATGATAATAAACTATCTTTAATAAATAAATAAAAACTTCATTTGGAAGTAAGTCCAGTTAATGTTGGTGGAACTTACTTTCAGGCAAGCATTTAGAGTCATAGTCTGACGACACATTCCTAAGTATGCTTACTCAGAAGAAAGTCAAACTGAAGAGTTTGTTTCCTTGTTAAAGCTGCTTGGGATTTCAGCCTAGCCGCTTGATCTTGTGTGGATTTCTCAGTGCCTAGGCCCATTGAAAACCATTGGGTTTGTCCCAACTAGGGAGGACTGGCAAGGTAAGTTGACACAGAACATGCAGAACTTACAGATTTAACGCATAGAATAAGAGAGCAAGAAGAACATATGTTTAAAGAAGAGTGGAAAACATTTATTGAATATGTAGAAAATAACTGTATACAACTGAAACGCTGGCAGCACTAAGATAAATTCAACAGAGTCAAATATAAAAAAATTAAAAAATTGTTCAATAGCACCTTAAAGATCAACTAAGTTTGTTCTTGGTATAAGCTTTCGTGTGCATGCACACTTCTTCAGAAACGAAATCTTATACCAAGAACAAACTTAGTTGGTCTCTAAGGTGTTACTGGACAATTTTTTTATATATTTTAACTGCGTCAGACCAACATGGCTACCTACCTGAATCAACAGAGTAAATAATTTTTGATTGCTGTAAACATGGAAAACTGATTTGAATGGTTATAGTAAAATATGCAGGGATGTATGATATGTAAAACGAACCATGGAAGGAGAAGAAGAGGAGTCATTGGATATTTTAAGGTTTGTAAAATGTTTATTTTGAAATGTAAAATTGAATATCTATATCTATATCATCTATATCTATATCATCTATATCTATCTATATCTATATCTATATCTATATCTATATCTATATCTATATCTATATCTATCATCTATCTATCATCTATCTATCTATCTATCTATCTATCTATCTATCTATCTATCATCTATATCTATCATCTATCTATCATCTATCTATCTATCTATCATCTATATCTATCGATCTATATCTATCTATCTATCTATCTATCTATCATCTATCCATATGAAAACCAGTAGGCTTACCCATGGTTAATGGTGCAATCCAGAGTCTGTACCAGCCTTTCCAATCATCTGCAGGGTGGAAAAGCCACTACTGCATCTACAGCCCAGCTGTTCTCAGTGGCTACAGCAGATGCTGGAGGGGGAAGCAGAAGGATTGCTTCCTGTGCCAGTTCCAGGCTGGCACACTGATCAGCTCTGGCCCCACGCCAGCCACCAATATCTGTGAAAGAGGCTGGGGATCCAGCAGATCCCATGCTGGCTCTGCCTGCCCCTTTCCCTGCCTTCCAAATGCCCCATTCTGCGGCTTAATCCGGCCACCAGGAAACCAGGCAGAGGGCCTTCTCGGTCGTCATGCCCACCCTGTGGAACACCGTCCCATGAGATGTCAAGATCAATAATTATAAGAGCTTCCATGGACACCTGAGGGTAACACTGTATAGAGACACTTTTGATGTGTGATGTCCTGTTGATCTTGTTCTTGTTGTTTTATATTATTATATTATATTATATCATATTATGTGTTTCTTTATACAGTGGTACCTCAGGTTACAGACACTTCATGTTACAGACTCCGCTAACCCAGAAATAGTACCTCGGGTTAAGAACTTTGCTTCAGGATGAGTACAGAAATTGTGTGGCAGAGGCACAGCTGCAGCAGGAGACCCCATTAGCTAAAGTGGTACCTCAGGTTAAGAACAGTTTCAGGTTAAGAACGGACCTCCAGAATGAATTCAGCTCTTAACCCGAGGTACCACTGCATTATGTTAGAAGCTGCCAGAATGGCTGGGGCTACAAAAAATTGGCAGGGTACAATTATCATTATCATTATCATTATCATTAGATTCACCCATATTGTGTGACTAGCATCATCCTCCATCACACCTCAATAAAACAGCATAACAAGTCATCACCCCTTTTTTTCATAGAAATAAAGAAATGCTTGTGTGGGCAAATAGTCTTCCGAAACAGAATTTTCAAATTATCTCACACCTGATGTAGAGACTGGTCCGTTAAGGCCAATGCTCAACCACCTCAGCCAGCTCCTACTTGCCTGCCTTCTTACTTACAACCAGTTAGGGGGTAGTTCTAACTGGCTCTGCTGCCACCTACTGGTGGTCTCCCTGCCTTCTGCCCAACCAGTCCAAATGTGCACTAGACAGCACTCCTAAGCACTCCTGATACTTGGGAGAGGGTACGAGTTGTTACACAGGGGAGGAAAGAAAGGTAAGATCCCATTGCACAAGCAGAAGTCCTCTCACGCAACATTCAAGTCCACTCAAAATCCTTCAGACGTAAAGAGGAATGAATTCTGCCTGATCATTTCCTAAGATCAAAACAGATAATAATTTAAAGACAACAAAAGTTACACTTTGATTTGTTTCCTTTTCAGGTCCTTCTTACACTTTTAACCTTTGTAACAGAGAAAGGATGATTGGGCAAGCACCTCATATTAAATATGCAGCCGCTTTCTCTCTTAATAACAATAAAAAGGAAAACCCAGGTCATGCTTTCCTCCCAATTTCGCCGGAGTTAGATTGCATGTGTTCTGCATGTGATTACAGACACTCACTAGTATGTGTCTGAGGCTTATATGAAATTACGTTTACAAACGGAAAGCAAATATAAGAACATGAGGCATGAGGAAAGCAGGTGAAAGTAGAGTGAGAGGGAATCAACTGAGAGGAAGCAGAAATTTGAGCTTTCTTGAGGCTTTTCATCCTCAGCTGAATGTCGTTGCCATCATGCTCAACAGACAAACAACATCACTACTTTCAGGATACAGGGCTAACCCCCTTCAAAACAGCAACACCCTCAGCACAGTATTATCCTTATTAATAATAATTGCATTGAGTCACCATTTTATACCAAAAAAAGCTCCTCAAAGTGACTTACAACAGCATAAAGCACAAAACAGTTAAAAACAAGAAAAGAAGAAAACAAAATACAATTCCAAAATTCTTAAGGTCCTCAATCAATCTACTGTGGTGCTAGAATTTTAGCTGTGTGGTAGAATTTCCCCATCCTTTCTCCCTGCCCCCGCCCACAAGACAGCTACATCTGTTCCTGGGGTTCCTCCTATACTCCAGAGCAAATTTTGATGCGTTTCACCCCCACAAACCAGTTTTGATCCAAATTGAGAAAAATAACAACCTATCTAGTTTTTAAATTGGTGATGTGTACACAGCCTTACTATGAATCAATCGATCGATAAAACCAGCCTGGAATTAATACATTCCTGTATATGGAATGTGAGTTACTATTGCAATTGCTGCCAGTGCTGGCTGCCAGCAAGCCACCCAGTGAAGCTCATTTAATTAATATTTCTTTTTTTTCAATGTGATTTGACATGTGCACCTGTTGAAAAATACATCTCACCATTTCCCTAATGCTGCTGCTATTCTGGTGAATAAAATGAGTGCACCTTTCCTTACCTGACTCATAACCTCAGCAGAGAAGATAATAATATTTATGTATGACAACAGCGTAATTTAAAAATCTGTTACTGAATCCCATATTATTTCTTTCTGCAGCACACACACACACACACACACACACAGTGGTACCTCAGGTTAAGTACTTAATTCATTCTGGAGGTCTGTTCTTAACCTGAAACTGTTCTTAACCTGAAGCACCACTTTAGCTAATGGGACCTCCTGCTACTGCCGTGACGCCAGACCACGATTTCTGTTCTCATTCTGAAGCAAAGTTCTTAACCCGAGGTACTATTTCTGGGTTAGTGGAGTCTGTAATCTGAAGTGTATGTAACCTGAAGCGTATGTAACCTGAGGTACCACTGTATATATAGATATAGGTATAGATATAGATCTAGATATCTAGATATAGATAGATATAGATGATGATATAGATATAGATATAGATGATGATATAGATATAGATATAGATATAGATATAGATATAGATATAGATATAGATATAGATATAGATGATATAGATATAGATATAGATGATACAGGTACAGATATAGATATAGATATAGATATAGATATAGATATAGATATAGATATAGATATAGATGAGAAATGGAATAAAGGTTATTGAAAAATGTGAGTGTAAACTGGCAAATGGGTTGCCAATAGGGTATTAGGTAGACCAGCCATTTCCAACCTTGTGCCCTCCAAATGTTTTGACTACAACTCCCATCAGCCATAGCCAGCATATGACCATCTTCTAGCATAGAACCATAGAGTTGGAAGGGACCCAAAGGGCCATCTAGTCCAACCCCCTACAATGCACGAATCTCAGCTAAAGCATCCCTGACAGATGGCCATCCGATCTCTGCTTAAAAACCAACTATGAGGGAGAACCTCCTGAAGGAGACTGTTCCAATCTCAAAGAGCTGTAAAACATGTGTGCTAAACAGTAGAAGCCATCAGTACACAAGTGATTCCACAATATTTACGATTTCACTTCACAAGCTTGATATACATTACGCCAACTATGAAAAACTTGAACTTTTCAATGAATGCCGACAATCATATTTCAATACTGCCAACAGTCTGCTCTGTTTCTCTGAATTTTCAAACTTTGCAACCCTCAACAGGCATTGTGCATGTTCACATCTGATCATTCTTACCTCCCAAATTCCAGACATTTGCTGGAACATAAATATTCACTTTCTGTGTGCCCACAAATGCATATGTGGCTGAGCTCTACTTCTATATAATTGATCCCTTCAGTCTTTCTACCATATGCAAGAGCTGTTAAGAAAAGGAGAAGTATTTTTAATATTATCCTCATAATTGATTGTGGTATGGTCTGAGCTGGAGGATGCAGTCACCTGTTTGAGAAGCAGGTACCTTTCTGGCCAGTACTTTGATAATAGACTCCTTTCAGTAGTACAGCTTATCCGTTGCCCCAGGTCCAGTCCCTGACACCAGCAGGCAGAGCTGTCGGAGAGCAAATGCCAATCAGCATGGATAATATTGGCCTAGTTGGGTCTCTGGTCTGACTTGGTATTAGCCAGCTTTCGATGTTCCCATGTTTGGTCGTTTCCAATTGGATCCAGTGTATCATTTTCCCTCTGGAAGGAATTTGACAGGACTTCATACCTTTTGCTGTGATCAGCTACATTTGCCTGATACCACGAGTGCATTCAGTACATTTTCCTGTAGTTTCTCCAAACAGCAATGTGTCTCGGTGGGTTTAAAACCCCCTTGGCCGACACTGTTTTCGTACAACACTTTTATATGTCTAGAACTTCTCTCCCTTTTATCGATTTATGATCGAACAACCAATACCTTTTTGTTGTGTTTTAATTTAAATAGGTTTTGGTGTAGCAACAGAAACACATCAGAGGGGTTCAGGCTGGCTTCCCCACCCCCTCCACATTTTTCCCCACATCCTGGGTGAACATATACTTAGATCCCCCAAGCATAGTGATAATTTCTTCCTTACCAGCAGAGCTAGTCATTATTTATTACATCACTCTATCACTTCTTCAGTCTCTCCTAGTGGGAACATTGCAGTAGCTGCCGGCTGGAAAATTAGCCAAGGGAACTTCTTCTGCTGGTCTCTTTCCTCATTATACTAGTAAAAAAAAAAAGTGGTTTTTTTTAACTGTGACATTCTATCGCTCCATCTCTCAGCATATATATGTGTGTCCCTCTCTCGTCAGGTCGGAAGCACACTATAGGGGCTAATAGTGAGTAATTTAACTGTGTGACTCTCCCAGCGTTCGAGCTCCAGCCCTTTCTCAAGACTAGCAGTGGCAGAACACTAAGTTCCTGCTACCTCCTATGATAAGCGGCACTTTCATGTTTATGCATTGCCATTCTGCTTCCATTGGTTTGTTTTTGTACCAAAGGTGAGCATGATCTTATTTCTTTCTCTACCAAAAGGGAGCCACCAATTTTGCAGGCAATTAAGGCAAGGTTTGAGTGTTGGTGAGGAGGTTGCCTGGAAAATAAAACTTTTGTGTTTGTAGGGTATAGCATGATAACTTGGGGGGGCAGGGAGATGGTGGATGATACACCAAGTTGGTGCAGCAATAAAAAAGTAAGAGAATGGTAGAAGTTGCAATAGTCAGAGAATTCAACAGAGGAAGTGTGGAATGGCAAATGTTTTCATCATAGTGAGTTGGATCTAGACTAAGTTAGTTAAACTTATTTCCCCTTAATGGAACACTGGCTGAAATCTGAAATGTGGTGGGATGGAAAGATCTGTTATTTTCATTTTTCTGTCTCTCATTCATCCAGTCTTAAATTGAGTTTCCCACACTTCTGCAGACATTTGCAATTTTTTTTAAAAAATTAATCATCATGAAAATTTTTTTAGCGCTTATGTATGAATTTCTCCTTGCAAACACATTTTTGCATGAAGTTTTGATTATCGTATACAATTTGTAAGCAATCTCTGCTAATATACTGCATTTTAGTATATTTTCAGTAATATATTCATTTGTATACATGCTCCCCCAATATATTCTTTTTCCTTTTGTTGTTGTTGTAAATATTGTTTGGTTGAAGAACTGCATCCAAAAATTCAGGTCGCATTTTATTTTAGATTTGGCATAAAATGCAAGCTGAAACAAATTTCTCCCCCGTCCATACTTTCAATAACGGGAATTAAGCGCAACTAATTTAGTCTGTATCCAACCCATCATGTTTGTATGCTATACTAAGACATGGGTGTGTTCATCTATGTCTTTCCAGTATGGTGTTTGAATCACATGTTCAGATTTGCATCACATTGATCTCACAACATGCCTTCTTGCATAACTCTGCAACTTGTGGCCCATCAAGATGAATAGGACCTGCATCGACAATCACCCCTGTTTTAGCAGTCCTATGCAAGGGAACAGGTGCCTACACATAGTGGCATGCATTTGCTGGTGGTAGGAATGTCACATATTGTAAAGGCATGATGTATCCCCAAGTGATCATTGTGTCAAATTTCATTTTTCTAAATTGCGTTTGGAATCTTTAGAACTGAGGGACAATGTCATAATAGCACCACATGTACAGTAACCAATGAGTTGTTTATGTATATGGGTAAATTAAGACGATCACTGGTTGTTCCAATGCAGAGCCCGAACTAGGAAGCTGGAGTCTAATTTTAACATCCAATCAAATCATTTCTAAAAAAAATTATGTCTTCTGATTCCCTTCTATTGTTCCTATATTAGTTGCAACTTTAAATACAATTTGTCCTCCATCAACAGAAATATCGTCCTAGCAGTAGGTACCTTGCAGCTGCTCTACCTATTCAGAATCAAAATTGCTCTAGTGGTATAAGGAGATAAAGGTCCTTGGGGACATTCCCTCCCCCCCACTCACCCATTGTCACATCCTCGCCATCCCTTGCTATTCACGCTGTGTGTTTAATTTGGCTTCTATGATCCAACAGGCCTAATTGGCGCAGTAACTTGAGTGTACCTAGTAACACAGATGTCAAAGATGCTGGACGTTGCCCAAAGGGTAGAGGGGAGAGGACAGTAAACAAAGACCCTGGTGTCTTCCACCCTGGAATGCCCACTTTAGCGTTTATTCTCTTCTTCTTGAATTGTAGTGGCAGTGCTCTGAGCAAGTTAAGTAACCAAAGTGTTCCTCCAGCATCGCGTTCATGTTCTACCACCACTCTGATGACCACCCATGTAATTCAAAGAGATAGGGTAAAAACTTACCTCTAGGTATGGAAAAGAGAGGCACTCTTTTTAGAAGAGACTGCAAACAGAACAATGACAATTTCTGTCCTTAAGTGCAATCCTAATGCTCTTTGTTAATGTGTGTGTGTACCTCCTTCCTTGACTAGTTATAAAAAACAAAACAAAAAACACAAGTATCTCTGAGAAGGTCATTTAAATATTCCCTTTACGTGCAATGTAGGATCGTACTCAGTGCTATTTTTATACAAAAAGAGGGGCCAGAATTCACCATGAACACCTTCCCCGTTCTCTTAGAATGGCAATGGCACCCACCAGAGAGGTGCTGGCACACACCTGAGAGGTGTCAGAACTGAGTTCCTGTGAGTTCACTTTGGGGGGAAAAGCCCTGATCATACTGATCTCTCAAATTCAAATTCAAAACAATCCAAATTTGAAAAGTGCACAATGAGAAAAAGTGGGGGAACGGACCCCCTAACAGGCCTTCATTATATGCTTGACAGGTAAAAAGAGAACTTAATTCAGCTGCATCAGTACTGATGATCTTCCATCAAGATTGCAGTTTAAGAACCGTGATTCTACAGTGAAGTGGAGGGTGTGTGCGTGACCAAGGGGGTATGGTATATTTAGCCGAGAAGAGTAGTTCATTTATTGCTGCTTTATGACATGCTAGTGATTCTCCTCCTCCTCCTCCAGCACAACCCAGTCATACATATTTGCCAGCAGGCTTGAAGAGGAACAAGATATAAGAGACTTGTTCAGGGTCACCCAAAGGAACATGCAGGTCTATCTATGCCATTTTCTCAAGGGCAAACTATGAACTGGTTGCTCATTTGAGTTCCAACTTGCTTCCGGTCCTTTGCTCCAACCCCCAGACCTTTTATCCCCCGTCTTCCTTTGTGACAGCATGAAAGTGCAAGGTTCATGGAAAAGCCAACCAAGTTCTTTGTGAAATGCACATGTGCTCATGTTATTACTTAAAGAATGTACCATATCTTTCCATCTATAAGACTCCCCCATGTATAAGACTCCCCCTATTTTGGGGGACTCAGATTTAAGAAAATGGGGGAAGATGTATCCGTGTATAACACCCCCTAATTCTTGACATTATTTTTTAGGAAAAAACCTATACACGGAAAAATACAGTATGTGGGCAGATTCTTAGGTCATTTTCTTTTATTTGCAAAACCACCAGGTCTATATTTGAATCCACAACAAATAACATCTTCTGCTAAGTTGAAAATGCATCATAAATTGACTTGCATGGTCTGCAGCTAGACAACTTAAGGGTTTAAATATAAAAAATTAATTAAGATGGAAGGAAATAAAGACAACAAATTGAAATTTGCTATTGCAGAATAACAACAACAGTACATAGGAACGCCGGGTGTACGGGAGGGGTAGTCCCTCTGGTGGAGCACATGTTGTGCATCTTCTGGGTTGTTTGTCCACCTTTGGTCCCCACCCTGCATTCTGCTCTCACCTGTAGCTCTTAGAAGCTGTCAGTATGTAACAGTGGCTACAACCTGGGAACAACTTTGACTGGCTGACTAAACCAGGTGAGGATAGCCAATGGGTCTCAAACCCTCAGTGAGTTAAGGACTTCCCTGCATGCGAAGACAGGCTCCAATGGATTGAGTAGATAAGACCAATAGTGGGTCCATTGGCCAAGAAGGTGGTTTCTGCATTGTGCTGTAGAGGGAAGTGAGGGGCAGATGGGGCTTGTCAACCTAGGAAGGTAGCCCATCTAGGAGAAGGTAAACTCTGATGCTAAACTTCCTTTTTTTAAAAAAAAATAATAATATTTATTAAAGTTTCAAAGGGGGGAAAATCACATTAATAAAAAAATTAACAATAAAAAGGAAAAATACAAAGTAAAGAAAAAAGAAAAAAACAGTTAAAAACAATTCCATCTTTTCCTCACTTCTTTTACGTTTACTTGTTTCCCGGACCTCCTCATACCTCCCTCTTTTGTATTCCAATTCAATTTGTTAATCCAACAATTCCTTTCCCTCCTTTTTAAACCTAATCCTTAATCTTGATATATTGTAACATTAGATTTTTACATATTAAAAACCAATTTTTCCATATTCTTTTGTACCTATACAGCTAGAAACCACTTAACTTCAATCCAACATCATTCTAACATTCATTAATTTTGCAATATTTCTGTAAATAGTCTTTAAATTTCTTCCAATCTTCTTCCACCGACTCTTCTCCCTGGTCATGGATTCTGCCAGTCATTTCTGCCAATTCCATATAGTCCATTAATTTCATCTGCCATTCCTCCAGTGTGGGTAAGTCTTGTGTCTTCCTCTGATGCTAAACTTCCACTGCCTTGTGGGATATCTTTGGGAGAAGAAAGGGCTAAGGAGTAAACCCTACACATGTCCGGAGTGGAGTTCCTAAGACAGTTGGATGGCCTTCTTATGGCAATTCCTGCAGCCAAGCTGGCGACAGACATATTGCTCTGCTTTTCTTTGGACCACATCAGGGAGGCCAAAGGGAGGTCTTGTTGTCTGGGCAGCCCAGGACCTCCATACACTCTGCCCAAGGAGGTCACTTTAGTACTGCTTGCACAGTGGTTTGACTTCACCCCTGGTGAACAAAGGAAGCCGCCTTATACCAAGTCAGACCATTGGTTTACTCATTATTGTGTATACTGATGTGCAAGTGGCACTCCATGGTTCCACACTGAGTCTGCCCAAGTCCTACCTGGGGGTGCCAGGGATTGAACCTGGAACCTTCTGCATGCAAACCAGATTCTCTGCCACTAAGTCATAGTCTTTCCTTGTAGTACTTCACTGTAGCAGCTCACAGCTAATCCTGATGGGCAAAAGCTATTTTGGAGACCAGGAATTCAAACAACAAAGAACTACTGCTTGTATCACACTCCCATGTGAAAGTGTGGTGTACTGTGTTTGGCTGTGGAGCAGACTCCCATGGGAGGTGGTGGACTCTCCTTCCCTGAAGGTTTTTAAGCAGAGGTTGGGTGCCCCTCTGTCACGTATGGCCTAGCTGAGATTCTTGCATTGCAGGGGGTTGGACTAGATTATTCTACAACTCTATGATTCTATGATGATAGAGTTGCAGCTGTTATATTACCTTCGCAATGTGGAAGCTGCTTTATCCTGCACCATGAATGTACCAACAGAAACCCCAGGTCATGTGGAACACCCTAATTTTTTTTAGGTGTTGTCTGTTTCTTTTTTTTAAAGAAGCACACTACAATAAATTTCAGGGCATCTGGTTTTCCTCCCCTTTCAGTTAATAACAAAAACTCAGTATGATTAAAAACAAAACAAGAAAACTGCATGTAAAAAATGATTCCTGGAAGTTGCAAGGCAATTTGAAAGTATAGATAATACAGGATATAGTACTGCTTCAAAACAAACTGTTTTTCAGCTAGAAAGTGCTGGTTTATACAACGATTTTACCACCATTAGACCTTTCCCCTCTAAATGCAGGGCAAGCATGCATTTGTGGCAGAGAAACTGGTTTTAAATTCTATCACCCTCTTCCACATTTTCCCAGGAGAATGACTGGACCTTGAAAGTGTGAGGAATTGATCTACTTCTTAAGTGCCTTGACCTTCCCTGCTTAGATTACCAATTTTCATATCCTGATTAGCCAACTGCAATTCTGCAGCCCAGCTAATCAATGCCAGGGCCATTTACAACGCAGAGAGGTCCCACCACATGGTCACTTAGCGGCTTGCATGAGATGCAGAGAAAGACATACCTGATATGGAATTATACCGCAGCATATTTACATTTACCCGTAACAAGGAATTTGATCAGGGATGTCAACTGATTAAAGAACTTCCATTTGATTAATTTGCCCGTCCATTAAATCCAACATCATAGTGTTGGCTGTGGCCAGGAGAAGGAGCCACAGGCTAGCAGATGGGTCAGCATTCTCAGGGACTTGGTGGGGAGCATGATGGGAAGGTTGCCTGCACTCTCTTAAAGGAACTTGCCAAAACAATCACTGCATTGAATAATGGAGTCATGCTGAATGATGCGTACATGGGTTTCTATGAGGCAAGATACTGTGACAACAGCAAGAGACTTTATGGAGCTAACGGAACTGAACAACAGGGGCAAAGCAGCTGCTTCTATGTATTTATGAAGGCATGGGCCACTCCCACTCTCAACATGATTGGCTGTCTAAACTCCCAAGCTGCGAATCGTAACTCAGAGTTTAAGAGCCAATGCCAGTAGCCCCAACCCTGATAATGCTACGTGATTGGATATCATGTATCGAATCAGAACACAGGGGCTCAGAAACCTTAGTCTAGACTCAAGCTCAGGCGAACACAGAGCACTGAATACATAGCACTGAATATGACAGTATCATTGTTTAGTAACTGAAAGCAACAAAAACCACAGCAACTTATTAGGGCTTCAACCAGGATTGTGGGACCTTTTTCTGGCTGAGCACCACCTTCCCTTCTAGGCAACCAGTGGTGGGTGGGTGGGGCTAGAAGCAAAAGCAAGTGGAGCAACCAAAGTTAATTTCCTCCCACACGTCTCTGTATCCTCCATCCACACTATCAAGAGGCGTTGTCAGGGCTCAAGGACACATGCCAGCCAGGCAAAGAATGCGCAAAGCAGGGCTGGCTAGGGGGGTGGCCTTGGGAGAGCCACATTTGGCCCTCAGGCCTGAGGTTCCCTATTCATAGCTTAAACGGAGGCCAGGGAGGGTGTGTGTGTCAAGGAGATGTCAGCAACCCAGGTCCACCACAGGGCAGGCATACCCAAGGGAGGCACAGAATGAAACTAGCTTTTTATTAACAGAAAATAGCAACACAGGAGAGTCCTCTGGTTTGCCTTAATCCAGCTTGAGATGTTGCTGAAACTGACCAGTAGCTCTGCCTTTCCCCCTCTGGCCTCTCACTCTGCATCCCGCCCAAGGAGATGAAGGCTGCGTTGATGAGGGTGAGCTCCTCCTCTGGGCCTTTCTGGCCCATTGCTCAGCAACATGCAGGACTCTTCTCGAGTGGGGTGTCAGAGGGGGAGACAAGCCAGCAGGACTGGGACTGTCCTGCTGCTGTGTAGCAGGGCCAACCTTTGACTCCTCTCTGCCTGAGAATCGGCTGTGACTCTCAGCCTCTACCCCTGTCCTGGAAGACCGTCCTTCTCCTGACCCTTCTTGATCACTCAACCCCCTGCATCTAGCACCTCCCAGCTTGTCCTTCCCCAGACTGATCTTCAGTGTCCCACCACCAGGATCTGGGATCTAAGTCGTCATCTTCTGTGCCCTCCCTGGGGGGCTCCCTGGGCAGGCAGATCCCACCACTCTTCCTCAGCCAATCCTTGACAGGGGGAGCCTGCAGCAGCTGGCCTTATGGGATGCTATCCTCTGGATCCTGCAGGCCCTGTTGGACATTAAAAGAGACATGGATCTCCTGTTGCTCCATATTTCCCCCCTCCCTCTCTTCTACAGATGTCTCTTCATCTAAGATATATATATTTTAGGTCCCACCTAATTCTTTGGACTGTATTAATTTTAGTCTGATTTTAATATATAATTATGCTGTAACCATACCCTCCAAGTGTCCCAAATTTGCTGGGATGGCCCCGGAATTCCTAAAGCTGTCACAGCTTCTGATTTCATCCTGGGGTGCCCTGATCTCTCCCAGTCAGTAAATGGGGGCTACAGAAGCCTCTTTCTCTCTGCACTGGTTGACTGGATTGTGTAAAGTAATAGGAGTTAAAAGGGATTGCATGGAGTTTGAAGATTATCTTTTTGAACTGGGTGAATGGGTGTTCAAATGGCAAATGCAATTCGATGTAAGCAAGGGTAAAGTGATGCACACTGGCGCAAAACCAAAAACCAAAAAAACCACACCCTTATTTCTCATAAACATTAATTAGCTCAGAACTGGTAGTGACTTATTAAGAAAGAGATTTTGGAGATACTATGGATAGCTCAATGAAAACGTCCAGCCAGTGTGAAGAAGCTGTGAAAAGGATGCAGTCCATGTTTGGGATTGTTAGGAAACGGACTGAAAGCAGAATAGTCACTATCCTAAAGCTGTTATACAAATCTATGATGCAACCACTGGACTAGAAGAGTCCTGCTTGGTTACATCTAGTAGGTGTGTATCAATTTAGGGGGCATCTTTTTAGCTTCCTGTGCTTGTAAAAGTCCTTGACAAAATGGACACGGGGATCAGACAGACTCATAATTTAAACAGCAACAATGAAGTATATTTGGCAACAGAAGAATCATAGAATTGTAGAGTTGGAAGGGATCCCAATGATCATCTAGTCCAACCCTCTGCAGAGCAGGAATCTCAGCTAAAGCATCCCTGACAGATGACCATCCAACCTCTGCTTAAAATCCTCCAAGGAAGGAGAGTCCACAACCTCCCAAGGGAGACTGTTCCACTGTCGAACAGCTCTTTCCTTATATCTTCATCTCCTTTCTTGTAACTTGAAGTCGTTGGATTGAGTCCTATCCTCCAGAGTGCTCCAATTGGAGAACAGCCTTTGCCAAAGGTGTCTGGACTTTGAAGACACTCAAACTCAGGACGAAAACAAGAAACGTGCTAAGAGGAAGGCATGTTTGGCAAACCCTCACCATGATCAACTCCCGCTTGGAAACCTATGTGGAAGGACATGCAGATCCAGAATTAGCTTCCACAGTCACTTATGGACTCACTGTTAAGGCTGTTCATTGAAGACAACCTTATACGGCTACGAGTGATGGCCAGTCAGAGAGTTTTTCCCTATGTCTTAACCTCCTTTCTTGTAACTTGAAGTCATTGGATCGAATCCTACCCTCCTGAGCAGGAGAAAACAAGCTTGCTCCATCTTCCATGTGACAGCCCTTAAGATATTTGAAGATGGCTATCACATCTCCTCTCAGTCTCCTCTTTTCAGAAGAGAAATGGCATTAAGGATAATTAGTGACGGCACAAGAGGATGAGAGCTCAGACTCATAGCTGGAATGCACCTGGAGTTGCGCATTTAGTACTGTGGGCCTAATTCTGTGCAACTCCCTTCCAGCTAACATCAGAATGGCTCCTTCCTGTTAAACTTCAGGTGCTTGGCCTTTCAAGTTCAGCAGGCCTTTTAAGGATGCTCTTTTGCAATTTGTATATAAATCCACTGGGAAACTTGATTAAGTAGTGCAAATATGACTGAAATAATGATGGTGAGGATGAAAGGGCTCTGTGACCATCCATTCATTTGGAGGTATCACAGACCTCTGCTACCTGATTCACACAGTTTTCCAGTGAACTCAAAGCTTTTGGACTTTTTTTTTTTAAAATGAAAAGGCTAACACTTCCTCATGTCAACTGCTCTCAACATAAAGTAGTTCTGGCATTGCCCAATGGCAGAGCCCCATCTCCCCCACCAAAAAAAGCATTTCATTCTCCTCCCTATCACATGAATTGGGCTCCAAACAGTCCCAGTGGTCCTCTTAGTGAAATTTTCACACTGAACAAACAAAAACCACAATGGAGTGAAGGGGGTTGAAAAACATCACAAAGAACTTGACCTTTGTGTTGTTGAGGGGCACACGGCGCATGAAGTGGCGCCGTTTTAAAGAGAAAAGCTTTACATGCATTAAATGCTCCCTTGAGAATTGGTGGTGATCCCAAGTGCATATAAATGGTTAAGTTTTTGTTTTTGATTAAAAAGTAAATAAATGTGTGGAAAGTGTTAACACAGCACTCTTCTGGAAGTTAGTTGGTTAGCACTCTGGCATTTAACGTTTGGCAGGATGAACTGGCTCAGAAATGCCAAATTGCAGATAATTACTATGTAGCC